GTGTATAAGAGACAGCCCTGGTTCAGGGTCCCCCCCCCACCCCAGTTCTTTGCCCTTATCACAGCTGGACCCACTGGGGGACCAGGGGGCACATCCCACCTGCTTCCCACCGAAGGTAACTCCCCTGCTCTGCGGGGGCTGGCTTCGGTGCCAGCTGGACCCGGTGCCATCCCCTGCTGGGTGCCACCAGTCTCGGGGGAGCCTTTAAACCCCGTCAGTGAATTTATTCCTTCACTTCAGGGCACTGACGGCCCCTCTCCATCCCAGTGCTCCCGCAGCACGTTGCTTTCCACTGTCCTCCTCAGCCTCTTGGTCCTCAGCTTCCTCGTCTTCTTCAATCTCTGGCGGAGCTCGGCCCTCCACGGCGATGCCAGATCTTGGGGTGACACGTGCCGGTAAGACGAGCTCGTGGGGGGTGACGCTCCCCCAAGACCCTCGGCATCCTGGCGCTACCACCTCCCTGTGCTGCATCCCCAGGGACCCCGAGCATCCCCCATCCCCATCCCGCATTCACAGGGCCCCCCCTCAGCATCCCTCATCCCTGTCCTGTACCCCCGTGACCCTCAGCATCCTGGCACTACCATCTCCCTGGTGCTGCTGAATTTCTTCCCTAGAATCGTCCTGGTGGAGAGCATCCCAGAGGGAGTGACCTTCGGCAATGGTTCTGTGCCAAATCCATCCACGTTCTCCACGTGGATGAACCTCTTGGGGACTGTCACCCACAGCCTGGACATTGCCTCCTTCTACTGGACCATGACTAACGAGGACACACGGACACACGAACCCTCCGCTGCCCAGGTCTGCGCCACTGGCATCCAGCACATGTGGCACAGCACTGATTGTGGTGCTTGAATGCAGTGCTCGCTGCTGTTTGCTTGCCTTCCCGTCATTTTTAATCGTTTCTGCTGGTTTTGCCTTCAAACGACATGCCGATTCAGGGTGAACAGATCTTGAGGGAACTCCTCCAATTGCCCCAGCGCGGCATCACCGTCCGAATCACTGTCAGCCGCCCATCAGCAAAATCACCCCTGAATGATCTCCGAGCGCTGGAGCAGAGCGGTGAGTGATGGAAAGAGCTCAAGATGGGGGTTTGGGGGGGGCTTTGGAGTGGGAGATGCCCAACTCGTGGTCGTGCAGGTGCTGTGGTGCGCATCGTCGATATGCCACGGCTCACCGGCGGCGTGCTGCACACCAAGTTTTGGCTCGTTGATGGCACCCACCTCTACCTTGGGAGTGCCAACATGGACTGGAGGTCTCTGACCCAGGTGAGCAGCACTGGATGGTGCTGAACCTGCGCCAAACTGCGCCAGGGCTATCCCAAACCACCCCCGTCCCCATCTGAGGATGCTCGAGGCCGTGAGACAGGACTCATGGCATTGGAGAGGGATGACAGAACCACCTGGTGATGTGACGGTGCCGCTGTGCTGCTCACCGCAGGTGAAGGAGCTCGGTGTTGCTGTCTACAACTGCAGCTGCTTGGCCGAAGATTTAGGCAAAATTTTTGAGGCGTATTGGGCTCTTGGTACTCCTGGTGCTTCCATCCCGGTACCGTGGCCGGCAAGTTATTCTACCCCCTTCAATATGGAAACGCCACTGGAGTTGAAGCTCAACGACACCGATGCCGCTGTCTACTTCTCAGTATGTCCCCGACCCTCTGCGGTTGGTTTTCCCAGTGCCGGTGGAATGGTTGTCCTGGTGCTTGACCTGTCTCTGATGATTTTGGCAGAGCTCCCCACCAGCGCTCTGTGCCGCCGGTCGGACCCAGGACCTCAGTGCCCTCCTCAGCGTCATCGATGCTGCTGAGGCCTTCGTGGACGTTGCAGTTATGAGCTACCTACCCACCACTGAATTCTCCCACCCCCAAAGGTGCGTGTGGTCTTAGGCCAGCTCTGACTTGCCGGCCCCAGTGACTCTGAACCACTTTCCCTCCCCAGGTTTTGGCCGGCGATCGATAACCGGCTGCGGAAAGCCGTCTTTGAGCGCCGGGTCAAGGTGCGGTTGCTGGTGGGTTGCTGGCAGCACAGCCGAGACACCATGTTCCCGTTCCTCAAATCCCTTGCCGCCATTGCCGATAACCAGACCCACTACAGTGTGGCCGTGGTGAGTATCGCGGCCTGAGCGCGGCGTGCCGGCGGGTGCCAGTTTGGTGGGTGCTGGGTGACGGTCTCCTGGCTCTCCGCAGCGGCTGTTCGTGGTGCCGGCAAGCGCGGCGCAAGCCCAGATCCCCTACGCCCGGGTGAACCACAACAAGTACATGGTGACAGAGAAGGCGGCGTATATCGGTGAGCGCGGACCCACCGCCTGCGAATAGGCGCCGGCTGCTCTTGGGGGCGGGTTTGGGGGGGGTGTGTGTGTGTGTGTGTGTTCCCT